GTGCTAATATAATAAAAGCAATGTATTATTGTGGGTTAATAGGAATGTTGTTCACTTTAACAGGGATAAAATAAAAAACAATGGTCTTTTTATAAATATGCAAAAAGAAGTAGTTAGCTTTAATTCTGAAATATGTAGGTATTTGATTATAATGAAGTATAATTGTATGTCTTTAAGTAATTGAGGTGAATGCTCTGGCTAATAAAATTGTAAATATTTATTCACTATTTTATTAGCAAATACTATATTAATATATCTATGTGTCACAAGCTATTTTAGGCACTGGGAATGCAATACGAACAAGACCCACCCATCCCTTACCTTATAGAACTTAAAATGTACAAGTCTAGGGCTGCTGATGACAAAATCAAGGGAAGTTCAGTATTGTGGTGAGTTATAACAGGAAAACCCAAACTTTGTGGATGTAAGAATTTAAGCTAAAACTTGGAAAATAAATTAGAATGATCAGGTTTCAAGAAAAATGAGATAGCTTATGAGAGTAGCTCAAAGTAGAAAATAACATGGTATGTTTGACAAACTAAAAAAAATTCTGCTTCACCAAAAAAGGGAGTGAAGTGAGAGTCATATGAGATTTTAAAGTTGGAGATATAAACAGAAGCCAGACCATGAAGGTTCCTATAGCTTATCATTGAGCCTTGATGTTATTCCTAAGGTTGTTGGGAAACTACTGGAAGGTTTAAAGCAGTGGAGTGATGTGATCAAGCTTTCATTTTCAAAAAAATAATTCTGACTATACTGTGGAGAAGAAAAAGAGTTACTTTTCCTAAAATATCTAAACTAAGCAATTAGTTTTGTATCATGTTTACTGATTATTTAAACTGTCAATTAAGTGACTCACTGCCTGCATACCCTATAACTCCTTTAGTACTGGGATCAGCCGCAAGCTTCAGAAAATCTTCCTTGTTTCACCAAGATGGGTTTTTCTAGTTGTCCACTGTATTTGTCTTTAAAGAAAGGCTTTATCTTTATTTCCCATAAATCAGAGCATGGTACTCAGTAGGAATTTCAAACATGTTGGTTAAGTTCGCATTATTTTTACAAAGAATACTGATTTGACATCAGCCAATTCCAATTTTGAAATTTGGCTCTAGGTGTGGCAAGCATTGAACAGATCTTTATTACTTATATATAGCATGCTTTGTATAAACCATGCCTGGCCACACTACATAAACCATAACCATTTTAGAGAATATATGATAATGAACTGAAAACAGAGCTGGAGTAGATATTCAGTATCTGAAATATGTTCAATTAATTAAGATTTCCAATGATGCATATATTGATATAAATGAAATCCATTTATTTTTTGACACTACATTGGCTTTTCCTTAACTGCTAAATGAAACTTGCTACCAAGAAACAGGAAAATATGCTTGCTACACTCCCTAATTTTGTGAAAGGTGGGCAGGCTATTATTAATCAACTAGAAAATTACCAATATATGATTTGGCTTTGTGATCATTTTTTCCCTAGAAATTAAATTAGGAAGCCAAGGAATATTTAAATTCCTTGAGCCATAATTTCTATGAATACCTGTTACTTTTCAAAATGAGAATCTGTTCCCATATGGGCCAGGCAATAGGTTATTTAGAAATAGAAGAGAAAGCTATGCAAAACCATCACCAGACATAATGTTTCCATTTTTACCAAATTATCTATTTTCTCAATCATTAATTAACATTTATTTGTATAGCATAAAAACCTCATGCAAATACTGAAAATTACTACATAGGAGAAGTCATCGATGTGTAAATATGTGCACATTAGTAGAAACCGGCTATTTTATTTTCATGCTATCTCAACAACATAACTGATATGTTATATACAGTATGTGTTTAGTACTTGGTTTAACTACTCTTTATGCATCCTCTTCTTTCTGCTTTTCCCCCACCCGCTTTAAAATTTCCATTGCACTTTGATTTGTTTATTTAACCTTCTGTGCTTTCAAATTATTCCGGTTTTGGCAGTACTATCTATAATTTTCAGCTACTACTTTGAATCCCTCTCTTTAGCTTCCTACATCTTGGTAGTCTTTCAGTTCATTCTCTAATTAGAATCATTACCAAAATAAAGCTTTGGCTGTTAACTAAATGGGCACAAGTAAAATAACATCCAATACCTCTATGAGTAACAACTGCAAGCTCGTTAGTTCTTTCTATCTGTTCAGCATTTCTTGGTCTTCTCCTTGTACTTTGTGTATCTGCTTGATGAGGAGGGAGCCCGTCCTTGGACGTGTTGGGGTCCAGACCTGCATTTCTGAGATTCGTAACTTGCACTCGCTGTTCCTCGGAAAGTCTATGGATGGTGACAGCTGTAACACTGGATACAGTAACATCTGCAGATGTGCTAGCAACAGCAATAGCACCAGTGGCAGTCCTGTTATGCTCCTCTAACTCACCAGTGGAGGTAGTGAGGGTCAATGTAGAAGAACCTGTGGGACACAGTAGCACTAGATGCTAACTTTTTCTTTTAAATTTATTTTTCTGATAAGTTTAATAAATTATATCCCCTTCTATCAGCTTACAGATAATCAACATTAAAAGGCAAAACACACACACACACCACTAAAATGTGAAGCAACCAGATCCAAGGGTTGGTCTGCATCAATGAATAGATAGTAAACAAAAATATTCCAAATTTTAACTATAACACGTTAAGGGGAGAGTAAATCCTTTATGTGGCCCTGAATCAGTCTTCATTATTTATCTACAGATGAAGTCTAACAACAAATGCCATTCAGGTGACAAGTTTTGACAGAATGGGTTACTAAGGAACCACACTTTTCTCAAAAGGATAGTTCCAATAATATGCGCCATCTCTCTTCATAATTTTGGGGGAAATTTTCAAAGTAATCTATTTTAAGACAAGCAAATGGAGAATTAAAAATCAAAGTCAAAATAAAAATGATTTTAAAAATTAAACTGAAATCATTGCTCTATGTAAATATCTATCTTAACCTCATTTGCCAGAAAGCAATTACTCAATGTCATGAGCTATTCAGTGAGTTGTTTTTGGAATTTCTCTATTTTAAAGCAAAATTTGAGATTAACCAATTTTAACTAACTAATGTTAAGCAAATTATTTTATTTAAGAATGATTAAAAATTGCTCTAGTTTGTTTGGCTCAGTGGATAGAGCATTGGCCTGCAGACTGAAGTGTCCTGAGTTCAATTCCAGTCAAGGGCACATGTCCAGATTGTGGGCTCCATCCCCAGTGAGGGCTGTGCATAGGCAGCCAATCAATGATTCTCTCTCATCATTGATGTTTCTATCCCTCTCCCTTCCTCTCTGAAATCAATAAAAATAGATTTTAAAAGATTAACTTGGAATTATTACCTTGTAATATTTATTGTTACAAAACTAGTTTTTTAAAAGGTTGATGATTTCCAAATATCTCATTAGTATTTAACAATATATATCTCTCCTCATTTTTATTTTCATTAAAATTTCACTATAATTTAAAGATATATTTTAAATATGCCAAATTAGAGTGTATTTTTTTCTGCTCACTTATACTTTTTATAAGATTGTCTATGGCAGTAAATAATTCTTACTTAAGGAATATAAGTAACCTTGTAATAGAAGCATGAAACTGAAAGAATATATAATTAAAAGAATCTTGACAGTTAAGATGCTTTATAAGAAAAAATTTGGATCTACAGCTACTAATTAAAAATAACAGTCAAAATAACAGTCGGCTGCTGGTTAGAAAACTTCTGAATATTTTTTAAAGCCACTGAATGGCATATGCCTTCAAATACATGCTTTTTCAATAAACTGCCCTTAAAACTTCAGTCCACAAAATAATTAGAATTTTAGACAAAAATACAGAGATATTTAACCATTCTGCAAGAAGAAAACAGTTATATTGCTTACTGTGTTTTGAGCATGCGTGGCCTGTATTTCCTTCTTGTAGGCAGGTGATTAGTAGGACAAGTAATCCTGGCCTTTTTTTAAACTAAAAAAAGAAGGCAAGCATGGGGCTCACTCGTTCAAAAGCAAGTAAAGGGATGCATGTCTGCTAATAATTCTCCAGCCTGCTGTCTTACTGTGTTTTAATTTGATGTAGAAATTCAAAAATGTTAAATGACTATTGTATTTTGACAGGGCAAGGGGTAATGAAGCATGATAATCACCAGATTACTTTAAAGACTATTAATATATTTTAAAGCATAAATAAAAAAAATTAAGTTGCTATTGAATATTTATCCAAGGTATTTTGAGAGGATTAGAATCTACTCAATTCACGTTGGCAATTCCAACTGGCCAGTATTATTTACTAAACTAATATTTGGTAAAGGTTTTCTCTAATCACGTGATTAAGCAATAACTATGATTGCACAGCTCATGTTCAGTAATTGACCTCCTGGTAAATCAGATTTTCGGGATGCCTGTGTACTCATTGCTACAAAAACTTACCCGATTCATATTATTCTCCTGCATAATTTAATTATACCTTGCATTTTTTAAGGAAAATATGAAATTACAATGAAAAACTAATACTTTAAAACTTTTGATAACTTTCAGGCTTTTCGATCATTTGCCTAGCCAGTGTTGCTCAGTGGTTGAGCATTGGCCTAAGAACCAGGAGGTCATGGTTCGATTCCCATCTGGGTCATGTGCCCAGGTTGCCAGCTACATCTCCAGTGGGGGGCATGCAGGTGGCAACCCCTCAATGGTTCTCTCTCATCATTGATGTTTCTATCTCTCTCTCTCTCTCTCTCCCTTCCTCTCTGAAATCAATAAAAAAAATTTAAAAAGAAGGAAACCATTAACTACAAACATGTTGCTATATATAATCCAAAAGTATGAAAAATAATGAATTGTCTGTCTCAAATCTCAGTTTTCCTACCTTTAACAAAGAAGTAAACTGAATAGATACTATATTCTGTCACTGAGTTTATTACAACTAAGCCCAAATAATCTCTCATATTTAGGTCAATAAATCTGTGGTAATTCTTGGGAATGTATCTAGATTGCTTCTATAACTAATCTTCAAGACTTGCAGACCAATTCCAAACCCATGTTCTTGAAAACCCCAGATAATAAATACAGTTTCTGACCAAATCTGAGAGTCAGACTGAACTTTAGTAGTATATACAGCTAGAATTTGCTAGCCGTTCTCATAACAAGGCTCTGCTTCTGGCTAATGGTGGTGATGATTCAGTACTATTTTTTTAACCTGAGTGCACAACAGGTAATGTTGGAATAAAGCACTGAACACCCCATTTACTTAATAATCACAGTCTAACCAGATATATACTTCAACAAGATATTTTACTAACTAGTTTTTATGCTTTACTTATATATTTACATTCTTTCCTCCCCATACTAGAATGCAAGCTCTCTGAAGGCTAAGTTTTTGTATATTCTATTCACTAACAACTAGTTTATAGCCTGGTACATAGTAGATGATCAAGAAATATTTCTCAAAAAATAATAAATTAATGAATTTACTTAATAATAATGCTACTATAATATTAATAGTAATAAGGAGAGTATATTTCACAAAGGAAATATGATTATAATTTGTAACATGGCCAAGTAGTATTTCAAACAATAAAATGATTCAAGGATAATTAAAAACAAAATGAAAAACAATTTTGTTTTAACTTTCAAAAACATCACTTTGAAAAAGTGTGGAATCTGTAGATAAGTAATAAGAGTTACTTTAAATATTTTGCCATCATTCCCAAAACATAAAAGCTTACGTTGTTAGTGTAAAATAGGTTTACTTAGAATGTTCAAATTTCTACAGAGTGAAAAGTAGTTATATTTTAAATGGTCAGGAGGTATAAGTGCATGTAATTTTAGTTAGATATGTTTGATATATTTAGTGGAACTAAAAGAAATAATGCTTATTTCCTTAATAGGCCATAAAATCATTCTCTATCATATAGTTATATCATACATGATCTAATCATCTAATTTAAAATGCAGATAATAGAATACTGATTTTAGTTAGATTTTAAATTGAAAGTGTATGAAACAAAGATTTTTAAATTGTCAAAATGTACTATTTAACAATTTAAAGCACTCAACATTTTTGCATACATAGTTGTTTTTTGAGGTAATTATCAATGTTGTAAGAAGCCTTAGAATTAAATATAACAACAACCCAATGCTAAATATGCACTATATTTAATCTAAAATTAAAATATATATTTACTTTCCTTAAAAACGTTAAGATTACTACACAATTATGTAAATATTATCTTTAATAACACAGTATTAAATGCATCTGTTGTAAACATACAACAAAAATTTTTAAGAGTACATTCAGAAAATCCATTCTTCACTTAAAATAAAATCATGTATACAAGATATAGTCTATCACAATTAGATTATCCTGTCATTAAATTGCTTGAGATATATATAAAATTAGATGTTTACAATATAAACGCATCTAAAAATAATTTTATTAATATCCTTTAACAAAACATTTCCCAATATAACAAAAAAAATGAAATGGTTTACATATATAAACATGCTTCTAGAAATCATAACTACATGTAATCTTTGGAATTATGATAATGAAAAATGACATACATTATACATGTAAACTGGCAAATTTGTTAAATAGTAATATTTACAACATTGAATTTAGATTTCATTATGAAAAAAATATGTTTTTAAGGCTTTTTTATTTCAGCAATAAACCTGCAAGAAACTAACCAAAATTCATGAAAAGCCATTTATAATGTGTCATTTAAAAGTGTACCAAATATTCATATCATAATTGATTTTGAATTTCTTTTTTATTAAATTTTTAGCATTATATGTATTTTTAAAGCATGCTTAGTTTTGTAATCATTGTCTAACTCATCATATAAGTAAAGGATAGAATATGTTGCTAGAAACATAAGGGGTGGCCATATATATATCTACAATAATAAAAGGGTAATATGCTAATTAGACCTGACATCTGGAAGGATGTCTGAAGCCAGGGCTGGAGTGAAGTCTGGGTCCTGGATGCCTGTTGGTGGCTGGAGGGAAGCAGCCCAGGTCCCGGGTGCCTGCCAGCGGCCAGAGGAGGCAAGCCCAGGTCCCGAGTGCCAGAGGGAAGCTGGTGCCAGCAGCAGGGGGAAGGAAGGCCTACTCTTGCACAATTTTTCATGCATCGGGCCTTTAGGTGTATGTGTGTGTGTATATATATAATTATACATAATTATATATAATATATAATTAAAGATATA